CATTGGATATAAGTATGCATCATAGTATCTCCCCGTTCCCTCTGCTCTCTGATCATTCCCTTAGCAATCGATTGTATGTTTAGCCAGCTTGAGTAGCCATAGCAACATACCGAAACAAAGAGCACGCCCACTTGCGTTCCAGCCGATCTCCACGGCTACCGCTGGAACGCATATGGGAAACAGCAGCATACCTGACAGCTGCTGAATATTAAAAGCAGGGTCAATTTTGCCCATGAGTTTTGCGATCAGCTTGAATAATTACAAAGGGCAAAGGGTAAGCTACACATGTATACTATGTAATTTATTTGTATGGATTGTTATTTAAACACTGGTTATTGTAATGCACCTTCATCCTGACGAAAGTTCTGATACAGAACTGAAACGTTGATCCACTGTGGCAGTTGCTGAATAAAAGCTAAGTTATTTTTTCATACCTACCTTGAAGTCCTTGGAGTGCTATCTTTATATAAGACTATTATTATTTTGCTGACAAGCACTGGGCTATACTTTACTTACTACTGGAGTGCAAGCATTGGACATTTTATTTATTTATATATATATATATATATATATATATATATATATGTAATAAGACTAGGGTAACCCCAGGGAATGTAACTTATGGGGTAGGAGTAGGCACAGACAAAGCGGGCCAATCTTAGGCGCTGTATAGCAAGACAGCGAGTCAAAGCACCAATCATGGGATGTGCAGTATACAATGTTATGGTAGGCACCTCTTGGTGTCAGTAGGGGGCTCACCCCTCAATAATACAAGGTGACAAGCAAAGTAAATCACAAACCCATAGCAACCCACATAAAAGCAGGAGGCAGTGGTACTCTGACCTGTGCTGGTGAGGAGCTGCAAAGAAAGAGGAAGTGTAAGAAGTGGAGGGGAGACTTGTTGTTTCTGTTTTGTTTCGGATTGGATGATTTCTCTCTGTGAAAAAGTGCTGCTGTGAGTTCTAGTAAAGAGAGACTTAAGCAAATATGAAGCCTCCTGTCATGTGATAAGATTCAAGAAACCAGAATGCGTTGTCTGAATTAGACTTGGGTGCTATTGGACTTTGGAGTTAAACCATTTGTAAACAGTTCAAGCCCTAAAATTAAGCCAGTGCCATAGGCGTATATTTGAAAAATTCTACAATGTCTAATGTCTCCCTTCTCTCTCCCTTCTCTCTTCTCTGTCCCTATAAATAGCCTAATCAGTTTTGAAAATTCATAGTTGCTGATAAATGTTATTTTTTTTTTTACTATTTTCCTACTAGCAACACTAGCAACCAAAGGGTACTTGTTTTTAGGGATCAACATAGAATGGAGCCAATCTTCAGAGCCTCCAGTTCGGAATTGCAAAGAATGCATATTCCTTCATGGCTATAATGCTCTCATGCCCCATGAGAAGTTTGAAGGAACATGAAATCTTTTTCCTGGAGGAAGTCCTATAATACAAAATAAATAAATTAAATAATTTAAGAGGCAACAAGTAAAAGTTGGGGTTTAAAAGCCCCATTCTACTCTTTTAACATTTGTTCTCACTTATGATTTTAGCACTCTTGATTCAGTATTGTTAGGTTGCTGATGGGGGAAGCTGCTTGGTAGAAGCTAAGGGAAGTTGTAGGGGTATGCATGTTACCAGTCACTCAGTTATAGGAATGAGTGTATCTAAGCTATAGGGGCATATCTCCTAAACAACTCTTTTGTTTTCCTTTTTTGCTTATCTCAACACCAAGGAGAACTTTATTCACTATTATTGTGGCTGACATTAAAGGAAGGGGGCTTTGGGTGATATGCCTGATAGTTCATTACAGTCCTAACAAGGATCTAGTATTTCTAAACTATTTAGGGCATTTTATCTAGCACATCTATCTTGAGCCTGTACCTATCTCTCCAAGTCGAAGAGTCTGCTACTCTAATATTATTACTATCATATGTCTAATTGAATAGAAGATGGCTATTAAATTCATAGAAACTGTTTTCACGTCACCATTTCCACGTGGTATGTGATAGACTGCCTGGCACCCCAACCGGGTGCCTCCGTCAATCGATGCTCCTAGTGCTCACTGAGGACCCCAAGCATTCCACCAGACACCATCAGCACTGTAGACTCCCACAAACTGCCGTCCTCCACCCACCCTGGACCCAAGACCAGGATCCTGCTTCCAGTGGGTGAACCTCTCCTCCAAAAGAGCATAGCTGTGAAGCTCTTATGAAGAGCTAGTTGTTATAGCTTGTATAGCAGGTCCCTACAAACATGAGGCGAGGCTCTATGTTGAAGGTAAAGCTGGACTGATTTTAATGGTTACATGCTTGGCCTTATATGACAATCCCCATCCAAGGGGTACGCCCACATGGACCTTGTGGGGAACTGAGTGACAACAAAACTCCCACACATAGCATACAATCCCTCCCCTCTGCCTGTGGGATATTTGAGTCAGATACTGTATTAACCCAATTATTTGAGTTCCATCAACTCGACGACCAAACACCGCTCATTGTACTCGCAGCTTAAGATGGCTGCTGTCACGTGTTAAATTGCCGCTTCGTACCACTTCGACAGTTCGAGAGTTTGAAGCGCCGCTTCAAAAGTTTGAAGTGTGCCATAGTAAAATAAAGGCACAAACAGTATTTTCAACCAGGGTCTAACACAGGGGCCATAGTCACAGTGTAGGAGGCTGGCAAACAGGCCGCTCCAAAAACCAGTGGCGAGGTTACTTTTACCACATGGTATATCACCAGAAGAGCATTTTTTAGTAATTTTTTCGAAATGTCTAATCTAATTTTTTTTAGACTATTCCTTGGTTCTTTGTGGCATCATGGGACATCCCTGTATAAGACCCTGGTGAATTGCTCCTTCTGTGAAATGGTTGTTAGTTTAAGATATTCCTTAACTCTAAAGTGATTGTGTATCTTCCAAGACCTACCTGATCCCATCATGCACCAAAGCCATACAGCTTTTTAATTACATTGTCTCCTATTCTAAGTTTTCTAATAACTCAATATAGTTGTTCTACTATTTTATCTATTGGAGATTCTTTGGACTCTAAAGCCTCTTTGTGGCCTAATTGTCTATTTTGTAATAGTATTAAAAAAACTGCAATCTTTGAGTTTAGATTCCAATATTGTTGAATGGGTTAGGCAGTTGCTGAGTGACAGGCATCAGAGGGTTGTAGTGAATGGAGTAAATTTGAAGCATGGACTTGTCACCAGTGGGGGTACCTCAAGGATGTGTACATGGACCCATTCTTGTCAATATTTTTATAATTGATATTGCAGAACTTGAGTTATGTATTGATGGTAAGGTATGCATGTTTGCTGGTAATACACAGATTTGCTACAGGGTTGATGTTTCAGAAGGCATAAGCCAAATGGCAAATGATTTAGGTAAACTAGAAAAATGGTCAGAGCTGTGGCAACTGACATTTAATGTGGATAAGTGCAAGATAATGCATCTTGGATGTAAAAACCCAAGGGCAGAGTATAGAATATTTGAGCTTTCTGATTGGTTGATTTGTTTACCAATGGCTCAGAGCACTCTGACAGGCAAGTCTCACTTTACTCTGGAGTTATATAGGAATGTCTGCAACTATTTTCAGCTAAATTAAATTGAGGCCTGTGTTTTTTGGCATGTGGCACTGCTTTTTTTGGAGGAGCATTCATAGGAATAGAAATCATTTATATTGTATTTGAAAGAATTGAAAGGAAATCTACAGATAAAGTGCAAGCTCTAAGTACAAAAAGAAAAATGTAAAACCAATAAAAATGTAAAACTCCAGATATTCAGAAAGGGAGACACTACATATTGTATACATTTTCAAAATTAAGAAGCAACAATTTTTTTAATGGTTTGAAAGTGAGAAAATATCCACAATAGCTACTGCTCTGTCACTAATCTATGCTTGCAAATAGTCCCATCAAATATTCAATATAGATCAGTGGTTGTCAACCTTTTTCTTCCTACCGCCCACTAATGCATCTTTCTTGATGGAAAAATTTCCTTACCTCCCACAAGTTTTGGCGCAAGTGTGGAATATTTTTTTAGAAAGGAGGGCGTTTAAAAAAAAATAAATGTACGTACAATTATATATATATATATTTTTTTATTCTTTATTTTTCTCGTGCATGAAAAGACAGTTAACATTTTCTTGCAATGCCACAACAGCAATAGCAAGCTGGGTAGTAGCAATGAATTTGATATGGCATACAATTAAACAGCACCTTTTTATATTAAAGACAAGCGAAAACTGAAACGTTATGTCAAGAGAAGAGATGATTTCATGCTAAAGTTTCTGATAATTCAAACATATGTAAGGTAAGTATAAACATTTGCAACCATTTAGCTTAGTGTCGCTTGCCCCAAAGGTGTTTCCTGCATCGCTTAACGATTACAGTAAGGTACTAGGTAGAATACAGATATGGTATTCTGAATCTGTGCTAATGCAGGTGGGGTGGTTGCATAACGTAAAGGATGTCATTAGGTTCTTTAATGAGGGTCGCTAGGGAGGCAGACCACAATGATCCCATATATTTACGGTCTTGGGTCAATGAAGGAGACCTGCTTAGGGTGACTGAGGTAACTCATTAAGTGTGGTGGGTAGGGATACTTAGAACAGGCTCACTATAGTTTTAGCAGGCTATCGTGTATATCCCTGTCTCTGGGTGATCGCACCCATGTGTGAGTCATCCGAGCAGGGCATAAAACAAGCAGTGAGAGTTAAACTAAACGTAGGTCACAGTGATGATGTACCAACAAATACACTATAACTTTGGCAAAAGTCTCCCCTTGCCAGATACAAGAGAGTTCAGTGATGCAAGGGTTACCAACCCAACAAGGTATCAGGGTATGCCGGCAGCAGCTGGGACAGCCGAGGAGTGTGCCCACTCGGATCAGTTCAAGGTCTGTCAGCTGTGGGGAAGGGTGAAAGGCATTTCAGCCGATGCCCAGTGTGGGAATGTCTTGATTGCCGGCACAGCCGGCCCTGTCGGCGGAGATCCTGGGCCCGATTCCAGCTCTTGCGGTTGTCGGCGAGGTTGTCTCTTGTGCGGCCTCTTGGTGTGCAGCGTGATCCTGGAGCTGGTGCTTCGTGCCGCGCTGGTCAGACGGGCTTGGGTTTGGTGAGTTGCATGCAGGTAGGTTCTGCTTGGTGTGCTTGTGGGTCGATGTCCTCTCCCCCATGGGCCACTGAGGGGCACTCCTCCCGTGTCCCTTTCTGGCATCCAGCCTCCCTGCCTCCCGATCTGTGGCGCGGCCGGTATTGTGAGTGTCCAAACAAGGGGTTGCGCCCTGCCGGGTGGTGGCAGTTGGGGCCGCTGAGGTGCAGGCGGGTCAGGCATATTTGCAGGATCCCCTCAGAGGCGTGGGAGCACCAGTGCTGGTGCCCAGGATACCTGGCATTGTTTCCCTCTGTGCTGGTCTCCGGCTCTGCTGGTGGGCCGCTCTGGGGACACGAGGGGGATTCCTGCTTAAGTGGAGCCGGATTGCTGGGTGGATCCATGCCGCCACCTCTTTGATCACCATCATGTAGGGCCGTCTCTGAGCCTGGAGCTTTATCCAAAGGCTGGCGCAGATCTGGTCATAGAACTCCTGTGAGTGCTTGGGAGGCTTGATTAGAGTGCGTTTAGTGGTAGGCTGTGTCAGTGCCGCCATCTTGTGTGGGCCTGGATATGCCCATGTTGCTTTGGGATTAGTCGCTTGGTCAGACGTTGGTGTGGGGATGATCGTCCCCAGTGAGGACCGGGATATCCCCCTCCGGTCCGGGGGGGGTAGCAGGGTTGTGCTGAGTTCACGCATGTGAGCGGGTCCCGTGCCGGAAGATCGGCTCCGCTCCATTGTAGGCCGCATGGTCGGTATGGGTCGTTCCGCCACGCATCGGTGCCGGGCCGGTACCATTCTGTTACTCATGATATCGTGAGTGGATCACTGGGCACCGTGAGTTGCTAGCGTTAAAGAGTCGATATGTGGTAGATTGTTTGTGCTCTGTATTGCAGGAGCTCTTATGGTGTGCTACAGGCCATTTTGGCTGCCAGGCCCCGCCCCCCGTACATTTATCTTTTTATTTCTACTTAATGCATGTTTATAATGTTTTTAACTTTAAAAAGTTTAATGAGAAAACAATAAAGTACATTGAAATTACCTTTACTAGTGATTAATGAGATCCTTGAGGTTGATGCTGCGACACTAAATATTTGATATCTGTTTCGATTTTCGTAAGGAACAAACAAAGGTCTCCTCTTTCGGTGATATTCAGACGACTTCTCTGTTTGCGCATAATATGATTTCTCATCTGTACGTCAGCTCCCCTCCTCTTCCTCCTCAATTCCCCTCCCCACCTTTTTTCCCCCCCCTTTTTTCTATTTTTTTTAACCTTACTTATAGCAATGCCCAGTAGGAAGGCTGAGCTAGGTAGCCCACTTACTATAGCCCACTATACAGACAGACACACACAAGACACACATACACACAGACAGGCACACACATACACACACATCACATACATACAAACAGACAGGCACACATACACACACACACACACACACACACGACACATACATACAAACATACACACAGACACACACATAAGACATACATACAAAGACACACACACATACATAAGACACATACATAAGACACATACATACAGACACATACATAAAACACATACATAAGGCACACATACATACAAAGACAAGACACACACAGCACATACATACAAAGACAAATACACGCACATACACACACAAGACATACACATTATATTTAAGTCACCCTCCTGTTTCCTACCTTTAAGGTGCAGGAGGGTGACTTTCCCTGGGGTCCAGTGGTGGCTCAGGTGGATGGGAGTCAGAGTTCCCACTCTGACTTCCTGGTCTTCCTCCCGCGCGGCTCTCAGTGTTAGCTGGGAGGAGTGATGTGCAGTCACTTCCTCCCAGCTCTGTGATGTAATCACAGGGGGCCCGATCGCGCTGTTAAAGCACCCAACGCTGACCCTCACAATCCACATCCATCGACTGGCCCTGACAGCATGGACCTCGGCCCCTACAGTTTGCCGCCTGGGCCAGGGCCACAAATGGTGATGGCGGCATCCGCCCGCCCACCCAATCTCTCCAAATGAGGAAATCCCTACCGCCCACCTGGAATCCTGAAACGCCCACTAGTGGGCAGTAGGGACCAGGTTGACGACCCACGATATACATTAATCACCCTTATAGTTCAGTGGAAAGACATACAGTGTAAAGGTATAAAATTATTTACCTATACGCTATTTTTTTAAACTGTAGAACAAGATAGGACTCCTCCCAGTCCTCAATAATACAAATACAAAAAAGGATCTACAGAAAAAGAAAAACTCACAGAGTGATAAAGTTTATAACACCAATATACCAGTGTTCAAGGTTACAATCACAAGAGTATATTGATTGTAGGTGTATCAATAATTTAGAGATGGTGTAAAATCCACAACATGAAAAATGGGCATGTGGGAGAGAGTAAAGACATATAATAAGTGCAGACTTTTAGATTCAATATGTGCGCTTCATTAAAACACACTTACAAGTTTGAAGTAATGTATGAGCATATCAAATCCAGGGGGTATGTTCCCCAATGGTTATCCACAGATGTTAGCTGTGAAGGATGAAGAATACCCATTCTTAGTTATAAGAATAATTTATTGGAAAACAAAAACAAACAAATAAATAAATAAATCTATACACTCCACACAAAAAGCCCAACCCTATGCATTTCGTCCATTGCAAATTCGGACTTCCTCAGGGGTAATAATCATCCAGTCTCCTGTGTGGTGTGATTCCTTGTTGTCCTAATAATCCTAAAACGATTTTTAAAAAGGGGAATAATCTTAAAAACATTTTAGCGTCAAGTACCTTTCGTAATAAAGATAACCGGGATAAGCATATTACTGGTTTCCATACTTGTGGAAACTGCAAAGTGTGAAGACTCCCAGAAGGAGTTTAGGAGCAGACAGACCTCTGAAGTTTTTAAAATTAAAAGTCACATTTCATGTTCCTCCACACATGTTGTGCACCTGACCATTTGCGATTGTGGTGCACAATATGTGGGGAGGACTGGAAGAAAAGCAAAAATAAGATGTCTAGAACACTATAATAATATACGCAAAAAAATATTACACATGCGGTCCCTTTACATTGCAATAAATGTCCATCTTTTAACAATAACATTTTTTTTTTTGCTATAGAACAGGTACAACTTGATGACAGAGAAGGTAATCTAATGTTAAAATTAAGAAAAAGAGAAGGTTTTTGGATACATAAATTACAGACAATGCAACCCCGAGGTCTGAACGTGGATTTTGACCTGGTGTGTTTTTTAAAATAATTCATTACTACCTCAAAATTATCAGCTACATTTTGTATATTCTCTATTTTATTTTATCTTAGAATAAGAGATTTATTTGTGTTTCTCTAGATGTTGGGGACTCTGTATGCATATATATTTTTAAATATTTTAAATATTCTCAATTATATAATTATATGAGAGCAAATGCCTTGTTTGCCTCGCGGCTAAAACGTCCCTTGGTGGACTTAACCCTGTAATGTAAACATGAAGTTTCTAAAGCCCTGCAATCTTTTACATTGTAGAGTTAAAATGACAGGACCACACCACCCACACCATTTACTTAAGATGAAGTGAGTGGTCTGAGTGACTATAGTGCCCCTTTATAATATCTGTAATATGTAACTGCATGAGTATTTGTCAAATGGACGATGAGGACTCAATGTGTATCTTCCTATACCAAAATAGTTTTTGTCATTCAATTCTGCCTTTTGAATTATATTTTTACATGAACATGAAGTCTGCTGAGCCACAGAATCTCAAAGAGCCTTATGTTTGCCAGCACATTGCTGTGTGTGAATTATCTGGAAGCCCTTCATCCCATCTGTACTTCTCATCGGCGGTTGTTTTATGCACACAAAATTGCATTCTGAACACCGACAATTTTTATTTAATGTTAAATGCTGGAAAACAGCCAAGCAGCAGAGATAAAATACAGCTGCTATGTGTATTTTGAGCTCACATGGGCATTACCTGCAAAGGAGACATGCTTTAATGGCTTAGTAATTATCTAAAAATGCAATTGCTTTGATGAAGTTTTAATTAGGAGAAAAATCGAATTCTGCTTTTTTAGCATTTGTTTAAGGACCAGAAATTGTCCTTACATAACTTATAGAAACATAGAATGTGATGGCAGATAAGAACAATTTGGCCCATCTAGTCTGCCCAGTTTTCTAAATATTTTTATTAGTCCCTGGCCTTATCTTATAGTTAGGATAGCCTTATGCCTATCCCACACATGCTTAAACTCCTTTACTGTGTTAACCTCTACCACTCCAGCTGGAAGGCTATTCCATGCATCCACTACCCTCTCAGTAAAGTAATACTTCCTGATATTATTTTTAAACCTTTGCCTCTCTAATTTAAAACTATGTCCTCTTGTTGTGGTAGTTTTTCTTCTTTTAACGCCGTTACGGCGTAGCGACGGCATATAACGCCGTTACGGCTTAAGCGCTGGGGAGCTCCAATTTACTTACCTCCGCCGCAATCCTCTTCGGGAGGGCTGCCTGACCGCCCAGGCAGCCCTCCCCCGGCGAATGAGGCCCCCGGGGGCCATGTGATCACTCTCAAGAGCGATCACATGGCCCCCTATAGTTGGCTGTGGATCTGCCAGCAGGGGGACTGTCTGAAATATCAGACAGTCCCCCTGCTGGTGGGAAATGAAAAAAATAAATAAATAAACATGTGTAAAATAAATTAAATATATTATATATATATATAATATATGTATATATAATATATACATATTAAATATATATATATATATATATATATATATATATATATATATATAACGTCATACGTTGTGTATTTTAATACTAATATTAGTATATATTAGTATTAAAATACACTTAGAATGACGTTACATATATATAATATATATATTATATATATAATAGATATATACACATATATTATATATACGTATAATTACAATAATAAAATAAATAAAATATTGAAACAAAATTTAATATAAATTATATATTCATATGTAATTTCATTCTAACTGTATTTTGTTATTAATATATATATATGTAACAAAATACACTTAGAATGACATTCTATATATATCTATCTATATATAAAATACAAATAACCGCATATATATATATATATATATATATATATATATATATAAATACATATAATTACATAAAAGATTACATTAGTATACACGTAGAATTTAAATACCTATAAATGCATATATATTAAAATTATACGTGTATATTTAAGTAATCTTGTAACATAATTATGTGATTTGATTAATTAAAATTTGATTGACATGCCTGACAACACAGGGAGAAAGTGCAGAGAATTTAATTCGCAAGCACTATACTTGACCCTGTAACTCTCCAGGACACCATAAAACCTGTACATAGGGGGCCCTGTTTTACTCGGGAGACTTTGCTGAACTCAAATATTAATGTTTAAAACTGGTAAATTGTATTACAACGATGATATTTTAAGTAAAAGTGACATTTTTTGCATTTTTTACAAACGAACGGCACTTTTATGGACTATATTATTGTTGTAATATGTTTTACTGTTTTAAAACACTAATATTT